TCTAGGTATCTGATGCTAGCTGTTGGTGGTGGTTTCAAGTTTCTATCTGCCATGGCTTTCTACTTTGCGTGGAGGTTTTATGAGCTGCCATCTCAGAGCGAGTCAGATGAGGATTTGAACCAAGAGTCTGCTTCATCACAGACAATACTTGTGGATGGAAATGCCAAAAAAATGCCAGAAACAGAGTTGATTCCTGTTGCACAGTTCATTACCGTTTCAGATTCTGGTGAAGAACAGTCACCTCCTATCAAGGAAATTCCAAGAACAACCAATGTATAGGTACAAAACACAAGCACCTCACTCAAATTGGCACAAAAAAAACTATAATTATGTTCTATTTAACAATTATTCCATGAGCGCAGGTTGGATATGAGATGATAGATAGCCAACGAGACACCTAGCGCCAAGTTGGCTATAATCATCTCGTACCCAACAAATGCGAGTGGAATAACTTTTTTATTAAAAAAAACGCCCCCATGATATTAGACAAATCTTCTCGACTTTATTTTGTAAGAAAAAACCGGATGTTACAATGTACAGAATGATATTAGATTATGGTATATTGGCTCATATACAGTGGTGGGTCCAGGGGGAGGGTCCGGGGTTCCGGACCCCCCCTATTTTACTGACCTGATGTTTACAACTTTGAGACTGAAATTCTTACCTCCACAGGATCATATATCACTTTTTAACTGGCTGATTTTTTAAATTAATGAATCCAAGTTAACAGTAAGCGGCCAAGGAATTATAACGTGCAACCGCGACTGGTGGGAGGGGGTGTGGAGGAGAAGTAATTTGCCTCAAAAGAGTCCAACAGTCCTTTCTGAACCAAAGTTTGGACCCCCCCTATCAAAAATTCCTAGATCTGCCCCTGATATACCATTATAATGGCTGTAGGCCAATAAAAAGTCTTGAATTGCATTATCCCAGTGATCCAGTTTTTAATAAATAGTATTACATAATTGTAGGGTCATGTTAAAATTATTTACTCCCAGCCTGTGAGCAAGCTCCCATTACAAGCATCACAGACGGTGCATTTCTGTGCCCTCTGGAAGATTTGAGATAAGTCAGAGAGAGGTTTGCTAGGAGTTTGGCATTACCTTATTTTCAGTGGTAGACTCTTAATTCATACCTCTCTCCAGTTAAGGTAGCTCAAGTCCTCAAAATTTCCCATGGGCAAAGAAATGAGGTGTCATACCCGGGTGGGAGGGGGGTACTGCCATATATGGGCTATATACATTAGGTAACTATGTGCCGCTGTGAAGGGTATGGTTGACAAGCAGTTTACTCTAGGATTGGGTATATAAATCAGAGCATTTGGGTCTAGAATAGGGTATCTGTTTCAGGAAACTGATCAGTTGGTTGAAGATTTTATCTAGACTAGGGAAATGGGGAATTGCCACTCAAACATACAAAAAATCAAATCGACAAGATGAAATTTACACTACTCAGCCCCGGGAGTAAAAACAAAGACAGTGTCAATAGATGGCTTTCATAAAGCAGTAGTGGATATTATTAACTGTCAAAAATCAGGATTCAGACGGAAGTCGGTGGTTTTAATACTGGTTAAAATTAAACAATTTATTGTTCCTTACAACGGCGTACATGCATGCTTGGCATAGCTCAGCTACTCTAGGATAGGGGGGGTTTGGGGAGTTTACTCTAGTATAGGGTAGCAAAATTCAGCTGAACTAGGTCTAGTATAGGTTAAAGGTTCCAGGGTCCCAGCAGCACATCCCCACCCAGAAAATCCTAAAGTAACCCCCCCCCCAGTGTCATACTATTGAGGGCCTTTTAGTTGGCTTTAAAACTCCATACACAATAATTGTTGAATCATTTCAAGGACTCAAAATCTTACGTGCTGAAAATCTAACCTGTATTAATTAGCAGGTAGATTCAATTTTGATAACGCTGTGTTTGTACTGTTATGGATCGCGACACCAAAATGACATGGGAAGAACAAGAAAGTATAACATTAGCCTTCCATCTGTACTTTTATAGATCATGGGCAACAACCAATTGCAGTGCACCTAGTATTGATTTTGTTATAATTAGCAGTGGACTATAAATCAAATCAAACATTCTGGCCTCCACTGCGCAAGCAAATTTATCCCATTCATGCTACATGTTTGTTCGATCTTGAAATTACATATATGATTTCAAACCCAATTGCACAACACAAAGCTATGCATTATTTTTATTTATCAAAAAGAAATGATTAATTCTTCAATACAATACAATATTCTTTATTTAATGAAGATGACATGATTAACCCAATAGTTATCTAACTTACGGCCTTCAAAGTATCATCTAGCAAAATGAGTTTGTTCCCAGAGAACATTTGCCTTATTGTAATGAATTAAAAGTGGTTGACAATCAGAATTATCAGAGGTTTTGTATCAAGCCCTCTATCTAGTTCCAATCAGTAAATCATACTTCAGGCTTGGCTTAAGTTTACTTACCCTTATTGGGTTTGGTAGCAATGCATTTTCCTGGAGAAAAAAAAGTGTACTTTGCCTGATGGGGAGTCATCCAATGTTACATGTAATAATGTCACATTATTACATGACTCGGGCAGTCAGAGGGCCAATAACTAAANAATTTTTCTGATGAATTATTTTTTAAATCATTTAACATATCAAAAATCAGAATGCTAATCCTGAAATTTGGTTAAGTTTCTCAAACCCAGATTACTCATCATAATTTGAATACATCAACAAAGTTGAAATAGTACATTGGCCACCGTTAAGGTTATAAAAGCTAATGTTTCGAGCGCTAGCCCTTCATTGGAGGGAATAGAGGAATTGTGGGTTGTGTGTGCTTTTAAAGGCAGAAAATGGAGCTACGTGATTGGTGGAAACATGGCAACGAGAAAAACACTAATAAATTTGTGGAATAAAAAGAGTTCGTTAATCATGTTGACTAGGATCAAAAGTTGAAGAATGAAACATTCTCAAAAGTGGCAAGTGTAATACAACAAGAAAAAATAGACTGCAGAAGGAAGCCTCTGTTTACTGATTGTTAATTGATACTTCACAACTAAATAATACAACTAATAATACTAGATTAATTTTCGCCCTAAAATTCCCAGGATGAGAAAACAATTTCTTCCACAGAATGACAATATAGCTCTTTGTTAGCTAGAGAAACAATACTTGTTTCTCCCTTGTCAATAATTGTTTTCTGATTACCTGACTGTTTAACATGAAAGTTAAAGTTAAAGTTGTTGGAAGGAATGCTATTTAACTACTTCTGAAAGTGAAAAGGTTGCATACTGAAATTTGGGTTTTACTTCAAGTGGCAAATGCCTGGCAGGAGTGAACATTCAAGGTGACCATAGCTCCAGTTATGAAAGAATTGTTCATCAATTATAAAACAATGAATGACAAAAATGGCTGCACTCATATTAATTAAATAAAATATATCTTTTTGGACCTACATATTAAAATAATCCAAAGCCAGTTTGACTCTACTTCAGTAAAGAAGCAAAAACAAGGATGTATGTAATATTTATGGTACTGGTACACAAATATTTCTCAACGTCCTTGTCTCCAATAAAAAATAAACTTTGACATCTCCCTTTTAAACAATATTCCATTAAATAACATTCATTCCTGGAGCCTGTGATCATTATAATAGGATTTTTATAATGGAGTTCTAGTAAGATCACTGCAGTCTAGGCATTCAACAAATAGACCAAACACAGAGGAGCATAACAAGCATCTCTTTTCTAAGACTGTTCACATACTCACGCAGAGTGTAAATCATTTAAAACTCTTACCTAAATAGAACATGATACAAGGGCACACACAGCCACACAAGCACAATAAATTCTGGAATTATAACTTTTCTTTATTTTTTCCACATCAGAACAAGAAACTTCCAATACCTTGAAAAATGTTACTTTTTTCCTGGTTTCTGTTTTCCTTTAAGATTTGCAAAAAAGCGACAAAAGGGAAGCAGGGCCAAATGGCTTTTTCTGGATTGGCTCACATCAACCTGTCTGGCTCTGTTCACGTTGGCTTTTACTATGGTGTTCTATGGTATTGCATGAGCAGGGCTGAACAGGTCATATGATGGCAATCCTCTAACTCTTTAACATTGTTCTCCTGTAGGTATACTACCTGATAAAAACCCTCCCCTCCCTAGAACAATAAATTGCTTACCACTGGGTGAATCCTTAACTCCTCCAACTGTTGAACATGTAACTTCTCCCCATAATTTTTTTTATACATTATTCAGCAAACAGGTAATGAGAATCCTTAAACTTATGAAGTCCAAGTTGTTATCTTGATCTAACACCAAATTCTTTTAAATAATTTACACTGAAATGTGTAGTGGTTAGAGTGGAGAATTAACAATCAGATCGTGGGAGTTAAAGAGTTAATAGAGCTCAATCTCTTAAGCACCAATTCCTATTCATTTCAAACTTATATCATCTCCACAAAATACAGTAAAACACCAAACACACATACTCTCAGAATAAATTAACTGGTCACCAAAAATGTGTTTTTGTGATAAAGTTGTCACCATCATCTATCTGGGGCCAAATACAAAAGCTGCTCACAAAATACGGTAACTTGTTACAATCATGTCTTTGGTTACAATGAATATATGAAGTTCATATATTTTGAACTGCGGTTATAGATACATATGATGCACGCCATAACCTACATAGCGCTCTCTACTGCGAGGATCATGCATCATACGAATCATGTCTTTGTCCATGCATTCAGCAAGCTTGCAATGGCTTACCCAAGAGTGATTGTTTTAAAAAATAACAAAAGTTAGTTTTTCAAACTAACTGGCAAAATTTATTGGTCCACACCTAATGTCAGAGCACTGCATGTCTTATGTAAAGGCAAAGCAGGGTCAATAAAGATCTTAAAGAGCCTTTATCAACCCTCTTTATCAAGGAAAACATTAATTATTTAAAAAATAAAACAACATAACCAACTTAATAGGTAGGACCCTCAACAGGTGACCAGTTCTCTCATTTTGTGCACAGATTTGGAGACTCCATGTACATAAAAAAAACTATTTTACTAATTCTTTATCTCTTGTAATCACACTTAAATCTACTTGATAATTTACTAAGATCAAAGCAGCCTTTAAAGCAGGTCATTTGTACGATCCATTCATTGGCTTTCTCCAAACTTCATCAAAATTGTTAATCTTTCTTTGCTTGGTGTTCTCTGGCTTCATCACTTGTGTTGATGTCCTTAGTGGCCGGTGGTTGGGTTTTGATACTTCCTACAAAAGCAAGTTAATAAAAGAACACTGCATTACTGTGTGACAACAATAATTTACCTAGTCAGGGTTGTCTCTAGGCATCAGCTGTCAGTAAAATTTGCCACATTAAAAAGTGGCAATCTCCAGCTGGTTTTGGTATGGGGATTACCTGGTTAACACCAACATGGGCACTTCTGAGGTTACACACTTACCATCCTTCCATATCAAATGCTATTTTTGAGCTGTCTTGCTTGAAATTTCAGGCAACAGCCTAATTTCTTAGTTACAAGCCTCAGTCAGAAGAATGGAAAAAAAAAAAAAAAGAGAAAAAATGTGTCCAAGCTATACCTTGTAACTGAAGTAGTGGTTTTAAAGCATTATTTGCAGCAGCTTCTCGTGAGACCTCTACAGTTTTTCCTGATCCATGGCAAGTGAGGGGAGGAATGGATGACACCGTGACAACAGTCAGAAATTCTCTCTCCTAAAGAGAAAAAAATGATCATGGCAGCTCAAAAGCCAGATGCCCAATCATGCTAGAGCTTATTTCACTTTCAGCACCTTGAAGGAACTAAGAGCATATTTCCTTCATATAAAGTGGGAGGGAAAAAAGCAAGAAAAGAGGGGATGAGGGATATTCACAAGAAACACATCAAGCACTCATAGTAATTTTAAAAGAAGGCAGTTACTAACCTTGGAGTAATCAGTAAATTGTACTCTGAGTCCTTCAACATCAGCCACATGTATTAGCTTCTGAATAGACGTAAGAGGTTTTCCAGCTGTTGACTTCACCACAGGAGCCCCAGGGGCGCGGTTAAGTCCACCCTGGACGGTAGGCTCCTAATGAGAATGGTGGAGTCGGACAAGGATTATTTAGGTTATCAAATTATCAAGTAAAAGTGTTATCCATTACATATTGATTTGCATTTAGTGCACTAAGAATTTCAACTTATACTTCAAGTAAATAGCTTTTTGTGTAGCTGTTCTGTTTTGGTACCAAAATGCAGTCGCAAAGAATCTGGGGATGAATTAGCTTTTTTATATTTAAATAGGCACAACGAATTTAAATACTTGTCTAACAATCAACTGAACTCATCCGCTAAAAGAACATGTAAAGAGCCGTGTAAAGATGAATGTACCCAACAGAATTGTAAGTAACATTTCCCTGTGAATATTTCAGCCCTTCAAGTGTAATTTCATATTAAAAACACAATTCATTCATTTGCTTTGCAGTTTGACTGTTGCCAGTGTTATTGTTGGCAACCAGTGCAGAAATAAAACGGTCATCTGAGCAGGTGTAGCCTTCAAATTTAAGTAATGGTTTGCTAGGTAAGTGTGAATCACATATCACATGGTAAGCTGAGTTGTAAACACATTTTATTGGTTTGTACTTATAAATTATTAGTGGACAAATGCATGGATGACATCACCATGAGAGCCACTTTGCTTTTTTGTCATATAAAACAAATAGATTCTAGGGTGTCATGGGTTCGAACAGTAACATATCACAGAAGATACCAAACTGTGGTAACAACATCAGTGGCACACTGCCACACTCATATGCAACTGATTTGTTCTTGTCACGTTTTGGTGACATCCAACAAAAGTTCTCTAAAGACTTTCTTATTCAAAGAACATTTTAATTAAAGTTCTGTTAGAATAATGCATATAGCCTAAATATTGCAATAAGAATTTCAATTTTTAATCTTTACTTTTAGTTCTAATCTTAATTTTTAGATAAAATTTTTTAACTTGTACTTTTATATATTTGTTTTAGTATTGATGTAATTATTAATCTACAAAATTTTCCAATTTTTAAAAATCGAGTTTCTAGATGGGATTTGAACCCACGACCCTCCGTGATCTAGTCGGATGCTCTAACCACTGAGCTACGGGAGACTCTATGGTGAGCAAGGGTCAATTAGTGGGTATTGACTGGAACCGCATCACGCGACTACACAGCCAAACATAAGCTAGTGCATAGAAGCTCACTAACAGCATCACGCTGTCACATTTAAGCATCACATGCATTAAAGCAACAAAATTTTCCGTCTGAAATATTCAGTTATAGAGCACCATGAGCATAGAGTGCTAGAGAAATCCCTATAATTATTATTATTATTATTATTATTATTATGTGACCTCCTCTTGCACAGATGCATGACAACATGGAATCTATTTGTTGAACCCTTCAGCCCCTGACAGTGACGAGCTTCTACAAAAACTCTTGATCAATAAGGAAATTCTCCTTGCCAGCACCTAAGGGAATGTCTAGAGAACAGTATGGAGAATATGCATACTGATGTTAGGGTGTAAAGGTTTAAGAGATAGGAAATCACATTTCTTGTTTATACCTGTGGTTCCTGCTTGACTTGTGCTATAGGTGCAACCACAGAGTTCATCAGATCTGATCTAGTTTGTTTAACCAGCTCCGGAACCATCGGGAGCAGTCCAGGCTTCAGCTGTCGGCCAAGTATGGTGGGTGGTTCACTGTTTGTTCCATTAGCATTTAAAGAAGCCTTTTGCTCTGCATCATTCTTTTCTGTTTTCACAGCCTTGTCTCCCTAAAAAAGAAGGGAAATGAGAAACAAGTTCTACAACTTTCAGCAAACTAGCTCACCACTGGAGCAACAAAACATCTGTACAGACCAAAACATCCTGTAACTGGAAATGCATGCAATAAAGTGGTCAGGCTCCCCCCCCCCCCCNATAGGAAAGCCTGAGTCTTAAAATGCAAGCAGCTCTTAGTTGCCAAAAGGGGGATCTGCTGGCACAAAAAACTGTCAAAAAGTGGCACTGGGGTGACTGATATCGAAAATTCCACACCCAGGTCCTGGATGTAGTTTCATATGATTTTATGTGTGGAGAATACTCAAGTAAAACGCTTGATATGAGGCCTGAGTGAATGCTCCTCGAGCGTCCAGTCGAACCGAGTGTAGCACAATGTTGGTCTGAAATCATACTTGTGATTTCAAATCATGCATACAATTTCAGACCAAATTGCCCCCCACTCCGTTCAATTACCAATATTTGATATTTAGAAAAAGTGTTTTTGTCTGTTTTTATTGTTGGATTCAGAGCCACCTTGACCCTTCAATTCCAAAGATCCGATTGTTAATTCTCCCCTCTAGGTGCTACACATTTCTTTGTTCATTAGTTATGTGAATTTGGTATCAAATCAAGGTAACAAGATCTACCTGATAAGTTTCAGTATTCTTATTATCTATCTGGTGGATAATGGATGGATATTATGGGGAAAAGTTGCATGTTAATGACTTCTGGGAGTTTAAGGGTTAATACAAAGTTATTAAGGTGGCTCTGAAATGATATGTCAAAACAAGCAAGTCAACGATTGTCACAATTGCATACATGAGTACTAACAGGTATTGATTGTCCTTCAGGAGAGCGAAATCCAATCAGTTGTAACATGGCTTCTGCCGCTTTTTTCTTGGCTTCCTTCTTGTTTGAACCACATCCAGCAGCCTGGTGTTGACCTACAGTCACTCGCATTTTGAACTCCCTCTCATTTCCCTTTGCCCTCTCATAAAGAAGTTCATAGTCTGGTGGCTGATCATGTCTTCGCTGAAGAATCTGCCCCAGAATGCTGACTGGGTTCATGGAGGGATCTATCTCTCCCTTTGGCTTTTCGTGATGGGATATCCGAGGCCCACGGGGAGCAAACCGACCAGTTTTCTTGTAGCTAGTTTCATCTTTGGGTAGCTCAGGTAGCTTTTGTAACTCTTCCAGCATTTTTCTGGCAGCCTCTTGTTTTGCATCCTTTTTCTTACAGCCCTCCCCTAATGTTTTGAATTCACCCACAGTGGCACTCACCACAAAAAGCTTCATGTGGGGAGGGCCACTGCTCTTCACATCTTCAAATCCTACTTGCAGTTTCCGTTTAGAAGCTATCTCGTACACCTGACTGATCTCAGATTTCACTTCAGTGAGACCCTCCTTAGGAGAACTCTCTGATTGATTAACATTGTTTTCACCATTTTGGTTAGCTGTCTTTGATTCTTCAGGTGTTGAGGATGTCGTCACCTTTTCCCAAATAGTAGCCATCTCACCTCGCAGCATCTTGATTGCTTTGGATGCCGCATTTTGACGAGCTTTCTGCTTGTCACGTCCTTCGCCATGGAATTCCTGGTCTCCCACGATCAGCTTGACACAAAAGATTCTGGGTACACGGGGAGGTGGAGAACGGTAATGAAATCCATTTTGGAAGTGTGGACGATAATGATTTTCTTGACCTGGGTGTGCAATGCTAAAGGGGGAACGGGGTGGTTGCATCAAGTGATGCAAGCCAGTGTGATGATGTTGCATCTGGAGGCTATGATAACCCATGCTGATTGGTTGGTATTGTGACGGTATCTTAGGCTGCAGATCATGGTACTGCGTCAGCTTGCCAAGCTTCATTGCCATCACGTTCAGTTCCACCGTAGGAGTTATGTTGAACTGGTTGATTTGAGGTTTCTCAATCTCAGGCTTTGTTAACCCACAATTCTCCAAACCCACAGTAGCTGCCGCATGTCTGGCGCTTCGGATGCTTGTCGCTTTACCTTCCCACGTCCCCACGTCTCCCAGGGTTAGTTGTACAGTAAACGTTCGCTGGTGAGCTGGTCCGGTTTCCTCAATGACTTTGTATTCGGGGTTGAGTTTGTTGGCTTTGGCTAGTTCGTTCATCAAGCTGACGGGCGTTTTCTGAGCCATCGGTACAATCGCTGGACTTGTGAAGGTAAATTACTTCAGGAATGATTTAAAAAGACGAAGATAAAAGAGCGTTTTTGCGTGGAGAGTTGTCGATCGAATAATAAATAAGTTCAAAATATGGCCGGCGACGTCCACGGTTAGAAGATAAGATACGTTGATCGAAATTACCGCTAACTTCCTCGAGGAAATTGGCGGTAATAACGGAAGAAGGGAAATAAAAACGGAGAAATTATGGAGTCGACGAGAATCAGTGAGGAGACCCCACACTTTTGAAGAAATTTGTTTTCTTTCAAAAGTGGACTAAAACGCCAAACATGAGGTCTGCTCGCCTTTGCGTCACTCGAAGGAGACGGTATCCCAGAAGCCTTTGTTACTTAGAGGGAAACAAGAAATGCTTTGTCAGGGAGGGGAAGGTAAGTAATCTGTAGCATATCTCTTTCGTTTCAAAGTCGCTCAACGAAGACAAACAAAAGTATTGATGTTTTAGTTATTGAAATCATTTTTATTATACTCAGACCATTCAACTTAGACTCAGACAACCTCATCTGGAAAAGGTTGTTCTGAGTTTCAAAACAAATGAATATGTAAGATATAGCGCAGACGAGGAGTGAAGTCAACCTGCTGGACCAAAAGTTGCAAATGAGGCTGGCAAGTTTCGCTTACTTGTAGCCCCTAACACCCTAACTTCAGTAGGCATATTCTCCATACTGTTTTCTTTGTATATTCCCAAGGTGCTGACGAGGAGAATTTGTTTGACCAATCAAAAACTCCTAGAAAAGCCTGTTGGCCAACTTATGGCCGATTGTCTTCCAACAATCTGAGAACGACTGTTGGCCGACCGAATGCAAGGAAAATTGAGGGAACCTAATCTGAATTTGATTGTTTGTGAGAGTTATGGGGCAAGCTCTCCGAGCCAATCAGAGAGCAAACTGAAGCGAAACAAAGGTAGTCCAGGATTGTATTCGACACTTAATTGAAAGTTGCTGCAACATCAACTAGTATACACACTGGGTATTGAGACTTGCACTTGTACTTACATGTAAATTCTAAAATTTACCTCAAGTTTTGTAGTCATTAGTAAGAGAAAGCAACCATGTAACACACCGTCATCTGTTTCGGATATTGTTGCTATAATTTTAACATGACATAGTGATAATGCCCTAAGTATTATTAAAATTATTATTAAGTATTATTAAAATGATCGGCCCTTGATGGAAGGTTTAAATTTTGTTAGTACTTAATGTCACTTACTATTACCAATTTACAATAACTGTACTTTGGAAGCATGAAGAACATATGCACGGCAATCATGTAACATACCTAAGCTAATATGTATTACTGGTACACTCTTAACATGAAATACTAATGCTGTAACTGTTGTTGTTGGAGGCAGGATTAATTCTTTGTTGGTAATCATCATTACTGAATTTACAATAAACGTTCTTTGTGAGCATAATCAACACGGTATCATGAATAGCAAAAGAAAAGAAAAATGTCAAACTTCAGTCCCAAACTTGACCTTTTGCACCCTAATTTACTTAAGTCTTAATTTTCTCCGCACTGTTCTCTTTGACGTTCAATGGTAGTCAGGGAGAATCAGGGGCTTCTTAAATTGATGATCATTTCCTTTATTCTCCTAACCTTTACATTTGATTCACAGGTGATATTGTAGGGAGAAATTAAAAGCCAATCATTATTAAGAATTAAAGGGTTGAAGTGAAGCATCATTTTGAAACTTGTTAGTGAGTAAGGCCACTTATTATCCAATTTTATTATATGGCTGTGTCTCACAAGGACTTGGTTGCTACCGAATTCACGAATTTGATTGGCTGAAATCAATATTGAAAGCGGTCTAGATTTTCCCATCTGGACCGGTCAAGAAAAAAAAGGTACAAAGAATATAAAAAATTGGCATATAAGACACAGCTATGTAATAAACATCTTATTAACTGAGCTAGGTCAGTCTGTATAGGAGAATCTTGACCTCGGTCACTGGTACAGACCTCACTGTGTTCGGTCTGTACTGGCGACCTCGGTCGAGATTCTCCTATACAGACCTCCCGCTCAGTTAATAAGAACTATGCACAACACAGAGTCCCAAATAATGTGCAAATAGCATACAAATATCCCACAATATTGCACAGTTGGTTTTGTTCCTTATTAAAAAAAAAAATGTTTAACTAGTTGACTGAGCACACTATGCTTCTCTATCCACCTTGCTTTCCGCCCTTTATGCAAAATGAGGAAAAGTGTGGTGGTACAGAAGGCAGCAAACGCATCAAACCAACAAAGATTTCTTTAATCTTTATTGTACTTGATTAGAAGATTCTGGAGAGTGGATCTCTGTGACTTAATTGGGAGAACTAATACAATGAAGCTTAATTCAATGTTCGCAATACTGACACTGATCGCAACTGAAATCAAAACCTAAAAAATCTAGTCCTAAAACAAACTAAAATGAATTATTCATGAACTGTCAAATAAGGAAAAACAAACTATTCATGAACTGTCAAATATAGGAAACCGCAATTGCTTAACTATTTAAAACCACACAGAAACAGAAATATACTTGTGCAAATTTACATAATCACGCATTGTTCAAAGTCACGCAATGAACTAGAACTGTTCATAACATGTGGCTTGGCAGAAAAAAAGCAGTTGGAAAATAAATTTTGGTTTGTGGTATTGCTTAGTTTTCTTGCTCTTTGTTTGTATTTTGGCTCGCCCTACCAGCGGCCATCAAAATACAGCACAACTCCAAAAAAACACTGAATGATACTATACACCAAAACATCTGATGTAATATATCTACTATTAAACCCAATGGTAACTTGTATCTTGTTTAACTCTTTGAGTTGGCCTCGTGACTATCAGTGAATTATACAGAAGTATATCAACAGAGACCCGTTTCTCACAAGTCCTGGTAGGTTAACAGGCCCTAAGCCATGCTTTAAAATCATAATAGACAGAATAGAAAATAATGGGACACTTGAAAGAAGGTTCTGGCACCCAAACCAGTTTAATTTGTTTCTTTAGCTGATAGTTTTATTGTATTATTTTCAAAACTTTTGAAACAGCTTTACAGGCCAGTTAAGTTACAGAGACTAGCAAGAAATGGGCCTTAATTAGCAGAGCTGTTACAAAATATTGTATTTTCATAATTACCTTTACCCTCAAAATTGACATCTTTGTATTATGTATGTACAAAATAAATATTTCAGACAAACTTGTTCTTCAAGAACAAGATTCTTCGACAATTTCTTTCATGTTGTGTCTCAACAGGGTCAAATATTCCTTTTGTAAACTGGAAAAATTATATTTCCATGAAATTGGACTTGTGAATTGTAAAGCTCTCCAAAAAGGAAATATGTTCACCATAGGATATCAAAACCATGAAAGCAGAGCTGTTACAAACTATTATACTCCTCAAATTAAATACCTTTTCCCTCAAAATTGACATATTTGTCTAAAGTATGTACAAAAGGAATATTTCAGACAAATTGTTTATCAAAAACATGATTCTTCTACAATTTCCTTTAGTTTGTCTTTCTCAACCAGGTCAAATATTCCTTTTGCAAACTGGAAAAATAATCTTTCCATGAAATTGGACTTGTGAATTGTAAAGCTCTCCAAAAACGCAATATGCCCACCATACGATGTCAAAACCATGGAAACCATCGGATTCTGAGCCAGTGCTTCAAGCGGTATGGCTGTATTTTGAAAGAGAGAAAAAGACACATTTTATGAACGTAACATTACAGAGCTAACATAGTTAGTGCTTATGGTACCACATAGATAAAATGTAAGCTCATAAGATGTACAATACCATATCATAAGTCAGTGGGTACAACTACAACTTTGTAGCATAGCAGCACAAAAAAAAACAACAACAACAACATAAGGGTCTTCAAGAGAAGAATTAATATGTTAGATGTGTCATGTTATTTACTTGGCCACAGGTTGGTAAGGGTGGAAAGTGTTCCAAAGGTCTTGAGTATGCCCAGAAGCCATAGGTGGAGGGCAGTACAGTTGAACCTGATTATCTGGACTCCTTAGGACTAGCCGAAACAGTACAGATAACTGAGGATCCAGATAATCAAGAACATGAATACAAGCATCAAAAACTGATGAAATTATTATAAGAAAGTGACATTAAATTGTGAAACAAAACTTTTATAAATCATTTTGAAAAATATATGGTCACCAGATGAGCCAATAGAGCATGAAATCTCACTTACGAACAATGCAACTCTAAGCCAATCAGACCTCATTTGAATGTTGTTCATTAGTTACAATGTGTGCAAGCGCTTTTTGAAAGCAAAACAAACTCGACTTTATGTCACTTTTCAATGCTGTAGTTTGAAATGAATATGACTATAGAAAGTCATCAAGACCAATAAATATTCATGACAAAATTAGGACCAGACAAAAAGTCAGGATAATCAAGAAATCCAGACAATCAAGGTCTGGATAATAGAGGTTCGACTGTACTCAAGACCTAGGGCACAGTCTTTACATAAGGATCAACCCAGACAGTAATATATTAATTTTTATTTCTTCTGCTGATTTGATTTTTCTGCTTTGCTGCAAATGGTGTGTAACAAAATTCGGAAGAAAGGAGAAAATACTACAAGTGTTACTACCAAATATTTTCTGGTTTTTCACATTTCTTTTTCAACCCTTTGTAGTTTCTTTTGCATTATTATCTTTAGCGTTTGTGGTTTTTCTGCCGCAGAAATCTATTTTTCTTTGTATTGGTTAGTTTTGTGGAATGTGCTCAGGAAACTTTTTCAGTTCTAGTCAATGTGTCATCATGTTAAGATCCGTAAAGCTCAATGTCAAAACTTTGAAATCCCTAACGAGGACACAGAAGTAAGTCATTCACTTTGTGCATGTTGTGCATCATATTACTGAAATCTAAAGTTTGTTTTTGTAGTTTTAAGGTAGTTTCTAGTTGATCTAATTATAGTTTTTCGCTGTATTTATCTCCTAGTTTTTGAAACCGCTTTTTATGTTATCTTTATACCGCCCAATCATCGCTTCGCTATGCATCGCTTCTTTTTCAACGTTGTTTACGTCTCATCGCTCCGCTTCAATAAATTTGNAAGTGGCCCATTGGGCCAGTGCTTAACTCAGGTTTCCATAGCATGAAGCGACTAGGAGTATTTCAATCTACTCCCCTCTCGGATGGAATGCTAGTGCAGTGTTAATCCCCAGAATTAAATTCACCAGTACCCATTTGCACCCCTGGGTGAAGAGAAGCACTGTGAGAGTAATTAAGTGTCTTGCCTGAGAACCCAACAATGTCCCCTACCAGGGCTTGAACCCGGACCACTCGATCCAGAGTCGAGTGCACTAACCACGAGGCCACTATGCCTCCACAATATTACATATAGTGAAGGGAAAAGGGCTAAAGGGGCACAAGGTAGAAGGTGTAAAGAAACTGTAGTGCGGCATCAGTGGGGAAGTAAAACAAGGTAATTTTGGTTTTATCAACTGAATTGATAAATGAAAGTAAATTGGCCACCATAAAGAGTTTTCCAGCAGCTGACGAAGGGCTAGGCTCAAAACATCAGCTCTGAAACTCTTTACAATGGCCAATTCACATTATCAACTCAGTTGATAAAACCAAAATTACCTTATAATTCTATTGCACTATTATGCATCCAAAAATTATTTAGTATTTACCTTTAATGCATGGTGAATATCTAATGGAAGTTTTCCAACATGCCTTTCAAACATTTCAAGATTCCTACAAATATAAAGCCAATAGGCTCAGTTATATTCAGATCAAATAGAAAGACTGTACAAGAGAAATTAAAACTGTACAATAACAACAGCAAAGATTATCTTAGAAGACCTGCTCTACTGGAGTTTACCTGTACAACATGTGGACGAGATTTTTTGTCAGGTGCTTGTTGAAGAGGAAACAATTAATTGGTTCTTCAAGCGAATAACAGGACTCCATGCAATCCCATGGAACAGAGACAGCCATGACAGCAACAAGACCATACCTGTCCTCTTCTCTCATTTCATTAACATAGTGAAGCATTATCATTCTGTTAGAAAAAAAAAAAAAAAACAAAGATAGGTTGCGGTAAGAACAGAAAAGTGGTGCACACAGCTGAGCATGTCAGGGCTCGACACTAACGGTATACAGCCAACTAGCCAGTGAGTAACATTCTACACTCACAACAAATGAATGTTTTATAAGAGGATTATTAGATTTCCTAAAACACTTACCATGTAAAGGTGAAAATGGGTCATCAGCAGCATTTAAACAAAGCACAGGTACTTTAATGGTATGTAATGATTTAGTGTGAAGGGAAGCAGCACTGTAGTATTCTTCATAGTTGCGATAACCAAATGTTGGTGTTGTAAACCTCTCATCAAATTCACGTATTGTCCGAGACTAGCAAAAGGGAACAAAGAATACGGTATACAGCCAACTAGCCACAGACTAATACAAATTCAGTTTTAGCCAGTGGTTTTTGATTTCCACTAGCCAGTTTGGCTAGTAAACAATCTGATTTATTGTGTAACATCTAAGTTGTCAGTAGCCACTTGGCTGGTAAGTTGAAAAGTTAGAGTTGAGCCCTGTACAGTACCTAGACTTAATGCAAGCTAACATCAAATCTTTTTATGGTAAAAAATTTTGACAACCCTAAACTTTCAAAGTTATTGCAAGATTGGACAAATTTCAATAATGCTAACCTAGAATATTTGTAATTTGGTTTCTTAACTGAGTTGATAGTGTACATCCATATTGGCCACTGTAAAGGGTTTTTCAAAGCTGACACCTCAAGTGTTAGCCCTTCATCAGAGTCAATGTCAGCTTTGAAACCCTTTATGATGGCCAATTTACTGTCACTTAGTTGATAAAACCAAATTGCCTTGCTATTCCCACTGACACAACACCACAGTTTCTTTAGGAACTTACCTCCTTTGACATTTATATTTTGTATTTATTCCTTTATATTCCCTCTGACAGTGGCCAATTTTCATGATCAACTCCATTGATAGAACCAAAATTACCATATACAGTCTGGCCTTGATTACTTCATAAACCCATAACACCATAAAATGTATCAAATAACCTTTCCTTTAAGAAAACTCACCCGCCCATTGAAACTCCCATGGCCAAAATTGGCGACTCGGGATAGATTCCATGGATATGTGACAGGACAAACTTCAGGTCTTCAGTGTTAGCAGCACAGAAGGTACGTGGAGTCTGTGTTATAGAAAAAAAGACCTTTGTTATACAAATCTTCCTTACAGCAAATCTTTTGCACTTGAAATTTTGTACTTGATGTAAGACGTGGTTATGGCATTCAGTATAACGCTCCCTCTCTGACCTTCAATTGAGAGGCACCAAATCCTCTGTGATTGGCAACAATAGTCCTACAACAAGAATAACATTAATTATTACACGACTCAGGAATTCTGAGGGCCAATAGCTAAAATCAACCCATCAAAATGCTCTATTGCTGGTCAATATTCTCTCAGTATTGTCCTGGATCTGTCCCGAATGGTCCCGAATGATACCGCACTTGTGTCCCTTTGAACTTCAGTCGTATAATAAATCTCTTATTAACCAAGCTTGCTTGGGACCGTACTGGAAGAATATCGGCCCTCAGTCTTTTTTGTACGGACCTCATTGCGCTCGGTCCATACTGTCAAGACCTCGGGCCGATATTCTCCCAGTATGGCCCTCGCGCTTGGTTAATACAATATATTTATAGACCACTTTCATAAATGGCTGCCGAACTAATATTCTTTTGTTTAAATTTAAATTAGCCTTTCTGGCCTCGCTTGAGATAATGTATTCTTTTGAATTTTGTACTGGAGAACGAGGTCAGAAAGGCTAATTTAAATTTAAACAAAAGAATATTAATCCGGCAGCCATTTACGAAAGTGGTCAATTATTATTGATTAATAGCTCTCAGTTAGCTCATGTTCTATGGTGATTTAGCAGGCCATATTTCATTTAAATTCAAAAGTCTGTTTGAACTGAAATGTTCAGGACTCCTCTATTAGAACCCAGAAATATATCATATAATTATATACATTATCAACCTTATTTTCTATGTCCATACTGTAAGTTACAGGACCTCCCACTTAGGCTATAAATCTGAACAGAAGAAACTCAGTCCATAACTGGCAGCAAGGACCTCAAGCTCAGTTAGTAAGAGGTATAAAATAATAAAAAAAATTAAATTTTGTCAATAGTTTGATGTTCATATCTTAGTAAAGGGGGGGTAGGGGATGCAAAACTGATTTCTGATTCCAGTTTGCACTCTTTTCATCTAAAAACAAAACACAGCAGATTAATGATAAACAAATTCTTCCAGTTTTTCATTTCTCTTTTGCTCCCTGCCCCCTTGAAATACCCATCACCCCCATTTTGCCTGCACTTCTCTTATTCTTCTCTCCTACTAGTTTCCTTCCCAAAGTTCTTGGCATTTTTCAGGGAGAGAGAGAAAAGCTTATTTCAGAGGACCAACTGGTTAAAAGAGCAACAACAATATGAGGTAAATGTATTTTAAAACATTCATTGGTATACTTTGTCTAATTTTTGACAGACTAAATTTACCTAACTCCAAGTTTTTCTCCAAGTAACACCAAGTGTCTGCAGTAGCTTGTCTCACTCCCACCTTAGAGAAATGAGTTAATAATTTAGAAATAACTTTTATATCATCTAACCAAAGGAAAAAAGCAAAAAGTGTACAAATCTTGTGGGCCACCATATTCCACAAATCACTTGACAAAATGTCACTATTGCGGTCAGTCAAGGCTTTGAGGGCAAATTACCATATTTTTTTGCTTAGAAGGTGAGCATTTTTTCATAGAAATTTTGCCTGATCACCCTTGAACTGTCTCAGATTTGGGGGAGTGCATCTCATAGCCAAGTGTTTTCATGCAACAAAATTCAAGAGTTAATGTCCTATTTTCTAATTTGAACCTAGTATTAAATAAAAGATAAATATATAAAAGGCTAGGAATATTGGTTATTGACTTTACTTGACTTGGTGGTTCTGAAAAAAGGGGTTTTATTTAATATACTGCTGCAGGTACATATTAATCTCCTTCTATGCCTTCAGTATAAGTTTCTTTTTCCTGAAACGGACTATAGCAAACATCAACTAGCCAAAGAATAAAATTATTTATCCCAAGTTTCAGGATCACACCCAAAGCTGACCAGTTGGGAGATACACATAACTCATCCATTCTAAAAGTGTAACAATCTTAAGGAGAAATAAATTTCATGCCCTTCAACCAGTAAAAGCCTTTAA